AAGGAAAGTATCGGAAGATGTTTGTGCAGCAGGAGCTTCAAAGATACGGGCGGCTGCTTTACGTTGCTTAACCGTAACTCGCTTACGAGAATTGTTCAGTGGGACCGGCTTCTTTGCCATGTCTGCGAAGGAGGTCTTAGAATGTTCGTTTTTATTATCACTGCTAGCTTTAGTGCTATTGTGACCAGTGGTCGATTGTTTTGCCGAGTAATTAGTGTCTGAATACTTAGAAGCATTGCTGCCAAAACTATTAAGAAAAGTTTCAGGGACATTAAAATCAAAATTTCCAGCACGTCGAGTGCCAGAAAGTTTTTGTTCCAGTGCAGTTATACGAGCATTAGAAAGTTTTAGTTCCTGACGGAGTGTTAAATTTTCTTTTGTAGCCACTTCGAAAAGGGCAACAAGTCGATTCATCTGAGCTTGTAGGTCCAAAGCCCATTTGGGTGTATCATTATCCCTTAAAGAAGGATTATGAGGTACCTCAGGTAGACTACTCTGGGATGGGAAATCATTTGACGTATCTCCAAATTGGAAATTGTTTCGTAATGATGAACCATCCTTGTCTAGGGAGTGAGAGGAGAGATCGTCAGGAGAGCTGACTCCGTGGGTCGTGGCAGAAGTTAACTGGATTGCAGGAAGCGTGTTGTTTTCCATCGTATTGTGGAGGATATGGGATTGAGAGGGATTGCTCATGGTGGAGGAGTTTTTACCAATATATTTCTTATGGCGTGTAATGTTGTCGTCAAACAGTTTTACAATGGTGGAGGCAGCGAAAGGACGTTTGGTTGCTGGATTGCAGATTAGAGAGGATGTTTCAACGACTGTAGCAGTGTTAGCGGGAGGGCCTGTAAGTCGTTTATGGTTCTCAGGTGAGGCTGAAGATTCCTGAGAATCTGTACTCAATGAGCAGTTTTGGTGGATGTCTTTCGAGGCCGGAAGGATACTTTTTGGACGTCGAATGTGAATCAGGATTGGCTGAGGGGTCTCTGTTGATGCTTTAGTTGACGGGATTGTTATAATAACTTGATATCTTTGTGTCGTACAAAACAATAGTTTTTGTACGGAGGGAAAGATGATTTGCGCGCGAGAGTCATAAGAAATAGTGACACCAAAATTCAAAATAGTATTAGCAGGTTCGACAGTCTTTGCTTGCTTTTTTTTCTCCAAATGGTTACTGCTGAAGTCTTATTGTAATGACCATTTCTAGGTCTTTTGGAAGATGATCCATCATCGAAAAGTGCTTCATTGATGTTTTTTGGTGTGGCAATACGCTCCGTATGGTTGAGAAGGTCGTTGGTATCCTCTTCCCAGACAATCCAATCTTCTTCGACAGTTTCAGCTGTTTGTTCCATAATTTTACCAGTTGTATCTCTTAATCTATTGCGATTTGCTAAAGTTCTTTTACTAGGTGCAGGCATTTTGATGTAGTATGTAGTACAATAAAATAAAAAAGGTTTTTTTCTGGTCAAGAAATTTAAACGCGAGTTTTGCCGAGTCGCAGTATAAATAATATCAAAACCCTGTTTTACATCATGTTCAAAATGTTAGTATATGACATAAAAAGCTACTTGAAGTCTCCCCAAATAATGTGAATATATGTTTTAACAACATTTCACAAGTTTTATTTTTTTGATATCTTTATTTTTGGAGCTTCTGAAGGCTCTGCAATGATTGATAACCATAGACGTCTCATAATTTGTCTAATGATGATTGATTTTGAGTTTTAAATAGACGGATAACAAGAATGTCACTTTTTTACGAACAACGTATAATAAGAATGTTTGAAGAACCCCAAATAATATTAATGTATGTTATATTAGTATGCATCTACTTTGGGTTTTTTGATCCGATAATTTTTCGAGCTTCTGAAGATCATTCAAGACTGACATTCAGGCCTGGTTTTGTTTACCCAGGGAAAAAATTAAGACTACGCCTCTCTTATAAATACCGAGAAAGTAACAATGCATTTGCAACCAAATTGAAAAGGAAAGTAGTAATCCAATTCCCCAAATATCGTTCCTAAAAACATAAATATTATTGACCTTCTTTCCGTTTTCAAATATATTTATTTTTAAGCCTTCTGAACGTCTTTGAATATCTTTTCGAAATTAATTCGATTGTTATGACTAAAGCCGGAAATTCAAAAGAATTTGACAGAAAATACTAGAAACTTAGTAACTGTAGGCGCTATATTATTCGTTGTTGTATGTTACACTAACCGGGATCGGTATTTAAATTATCAACACACATAGACCATATTCTTTCAATATTTCCCCCCTACAGCCAAGTCCCAGCCAAGAAATTTAAAAACCGACCAACTTTGAGAGTCTTCAGACGACTCAAAATTGAAGATATCAACTTCGACCTCCCCATTTTTTGTTCATAAACATCTACTTAACAATAAATGGGGAGGTCGAAGTTGATATCTTTAATTTTGAGTTGTCTGAAGCTCTTGAAAAAACGTCTAAAATTTTGGAACATTTAAGTTCGATCGCACGTTAGGATTATCAAATGGAAGATTTAAGAAGTGTAGATAGAGTCATATATTAAGCATATAGCCTTGATCACGACAGTCATGTTCGTCTAACTCAGTAGTAGCATTATTAACATACACACTATTGTGTTCCTCAATGGGAACGGGATTGTCACAACAATGATTCTTATCCTTGTTATCTGACGTCGATGAACTAACTTCACGAAACGAAGCACAGTTACAAGCCACTGATTCATTTTTTCTGATACCGTAGCTAAACTTCATATTTTTAACATGACGATTTCTGTTAGAAAGATTAATCTGGTTTGAATGTACATGTTTTCGACCACAAGACATGATATGTAACTGTTTCAATTTAGGAAGGGAACCTTCACCGTCGTCTTCCTTTGGCGGATAGAGACGGGATAAAGCGTCAGGCAAAATATTATCAACACCTTTTAAGTACACCACTTTAAAGTCATAATCCAATATGGTATCCAGCCGTTTAATCATCATGGAATTAGAATGCTTTTGAGTGTGAAGGTATGAAAGAGCTTCGTGATCGCTAAATAAGGTGAAGTGTGTACCCGATACAAATTTATGGAATTGATTTAATACAAAGATACAACTTAATAATTCACGCATTGTACAAGAATAACGTTGTTCTGACCCAGACAGCTTACGAGAAAAGAATCCAATATGTTTTATGATAGTTTTTTTATTACCATCAGCAGTGCTGGTTTTATATTCTTGATATAAACAACAGCCAATGCCATAATCGGAAGTATCTGTAGCAATACAGAATGGGTGATCTAAATTCGGGTGACTCAGCACCACATCTGAAACTAATATTTCTTTCAGAGTACGAAAGTGCATATCGTGTAATGCAGTCCATTGAAAAGGTCTTCCTTTATTCTTTTGATCGTGGGAACGAAGAAAGTCAAGGGGTGCCATTAACATTGCAGCATTAGGACCATGTTGTCTAAAATAATTGACAGACCCTAAAAATGACTGGCATTGCTTGGACGTAGTTGGTCGAGGATAAGTATCAAGGTTGGTCAGCTTTCGAGTATCGATACGACGACCTCTTTCTGAAATAGAAAAACCAAGAAGATAAACCTCTGCTTTAGCAAAATGAGACTTACGAAAGTTAACACGCAGCTTAGCTGTCGTTAAGACTGTAAGTACATGTTTAACATGATGAAAGTGTGCTTCGATTGAACGAGACATTACACAAATGTCATCAACGAACGATCTTATATACTGAACATCCTTAAATAATGAAAGAATTACTGAACTAAACAGTTGACTAATCGTACTGACGCCGAAGGGGCTACCAGCATGCATGTATTTAAGGTTATCAGGACCGGTAAAACTTGTTTTAACCTGATCGTCATAGTTTACCCGAAACTGTGAAAATGCAGACTTTAAATCAATTGTACTGAATACAACACAGCCATCCATGGCAGTGGAAAATATATCATTGATCAAGGGTTGGGTTTCATTGATAGTGAGAAGTGCTTTATTCAGCATTCTTGTATCCAGAACAACTCTGACATCTTCTTTCGTCAAACTACTCAGATCGAAAGAGACTGTACCAGACTCATGGTTCTTTTTAATAGTAACCGTAATAGGAAGGTTCCACGCAGATGGAGTAGCTCTAACTACAATACCATCTCGTACCCAATCGTTGATTACTTCCATTACCAATGGGCGCAATTTATAGGCGATAGGATACTGACGTATGTTGACCAAATAATCGTCAGGGGTTGGTAAATGTAAAACGCTCTCAGGCAAATTACAAAATGAATTAGGATCAAGTTTCTTGTTAGCCTCAATATAAGGTTCTAAACTAGTGTGAAACGCTAATTGTTCCTCTTCACTACCTGTTGTAGTTAAAGTATAATATACATATACTTGGGACTTCTTTATTTGAAGTTCCGAGCCTGGTTTAAATATCAGGTTTTATCCTATTTTTAATAAAGTTCATCTTTTTTCTGTCTCGTATTTATACTTGTGTTAATCGACTATTTCACTACCATAAGGAGTAACGTTAGGTGTATACGCCACATCAGAGATTGAATCATCAACTGACTTTGTTGTGTCCTTATATTTATGTGCAACATTAACTAAATGGATTGACAATTTAGGCATAAGATCTGTTCCGACTAAGATTTGGTTATGAGGAGAAGGCATTGCTTTACTGTCGATAACATTGAACTTATGTAAAACAACGTGTTCTACGCCATCGTAATTAATACTTAAAGGTAACACGGACTGTTCACGGAGTATTCTAGTACCATCGTACAAACATAAATGTCCATCTACTGCATGAAATTGAATTTTATGATCAATAGCAAATTGCTTATCAATAATAGAAACTTGAGCACCTGTGTCAAGGGTACAGTAAGTTTTTACAGAATTAATTATAATAGGGGTGATGGGTGAGTAAGCCACACTTTCGGAATTAAATAAATCATCCGAGCCCTTTTAACTTTTTCCCTTATTAATAAATACATTTTTATCATTCTTAATTTTTATGGCAAAGATATTTTTATTATAAGAAAAATTAACTTCATCATTAACAGTGCAAATAAAGTCGTCCAGGCTTCTATAAACAGCTTGGAATTCGTCTTCATCATCACCAAAATTCACTTCATCATCATCATCGTACCGTTCAACTTTAGTGCTTCTAGAAGAATTAGAGGAGTTAGAATTAGATTCATCGTTATTCTTAATATGATTAGATAAAACGTTAACATCAGACAAAGCTAAGTCGTCATTATTATCAATCATTGTATTACTATTTACCTTGTAATGCTTTCTTGCAGGACAAGTCTCCAAGTGAGCAGGAGAGAAAGGAGCCACTATGCAGTTCAAGCATTTCTTCATCTTAAAAAGAAAATTTCTTTCATCGGCGTTCAAATGATGGAAAGGCTTGTAAATTTCATCCAAACGAACCAAGTCATAGTTGATCACATGATCTTTTACCGATCCAACCGACGAAGAAGAAGAAGCAGGAGCAGGAGCAGGAGAAGACCAAGGTGGGCTGACACGAGCACCAGAAGAGTTCTTTGTCTTTCTTTTCTTGGACTTTTCATGGCTTGCACCAGACGAGGAACCAGCACCAGCAAAAGAAGGAATTTTTTCTCGTTCTTCTTCCAGGCAATGTTCCAGAATTGTCAATTTACGGTAAATGGCCTTGGTTACATTCCCAAAGTCAGCATAGAACTCGCAAAAGGCCTCGTCGGTAGTTGCAGCATGGATACTCACACCTTGTTGAGTACTGTTCATATACTCGGACATTGCATCCATTACCTTCGCCTTGAGCTTTTCATTCTTCGATTTCCAGATAAAGCACGCCGTGAACAGGTAGTTGTCCTTAGTGGAGATGTTACCATTAATCTCCAAGACGCTATACTTGAAGATAAATTCCACCAAAGTATCCTTTGGACCAATAGCACCGTTTTCGAACAAAACCTCATTATCTTTTTGGATCCCTTTATCGGACGAGATAACGAACCGGTCTTGCATCATCTTGACGGCGGACAACCAGTGGAGCTTTTCGTCAGCTTTGTACTCAGGCTTGATTACCTTATCGAACCAGAAGCGAGAGGACAGACGCTTTTCCAAACAGTCTTCCAAGTGGGGATACCAATGCTTATTAACGTTGACGTTTTCATTCTTGTAAGCTCTCTCAAAAGCCAAAACGAAGTTGCACAACATGTGTTCATCATTCACATCATCCTCACCATTCATCTTGCGGGCCTTCATAGGTCGAACGTTGAAAACCGGGAGATCCTTAGCCTTGACAGCGGTATGATCCAATTCCTTTTTCTTCGAACCCTTGATCGATAGCTTGTTCGTGCGATTCGTTACTTCAAGTAAACTGGCTTCTTGTTTCTTCAAGGAGACCAACGACTCATGAGCACCACTGACCCTTTTATTTAAATAGTCCATCATAGCAAGGTTAGCATTCAATAATGCTGGCAATTCAGCGAAATTACCGCCCTTGTTATGCAACAACTCGTCGCCAACGGCAGTGAGTTGAATAATCTTAGCAGCATCCCCATCAATCTGGTTTTGCAAAACCTTGATTTGGCCAACGTAATCCGACCCTTCAACAGAGTCTACGACTGGACTTACAGAAGACGCATCTTCACCTTGACCCGAATGAAGAGTAGCGGGCGTACCCTCGTTATCAACATCCATACTGTCGGAATCGTTACCATCATGGTAAACGACATCAGAACCAGAACCAGAAGACGATTCTTGACCAGAGCCAGCTTCAGAACCAGAGGACTCAGACTCAGAGGAAGAAGAGTAAGTAACCATGAGAGCATGGGCACCTTGGAAAGCAGCAGCGGGTTGGTTGGTATTAACAGGAGAATTCATTTACAAAAATGTGATGTTTGAGATATTAAAAATAGATAAAACAGAATAAAAAAGAAGTAATAAGAAATGAGTCTCTATTAATCTTTTATTAAAGTTATGGAGAGAAAGTCATCGCAAAAGGGAGGACGCTTTTTATATCAATCATCTGGGAGATTGAATCTGGTAAGGAATAGGCAGTGGCTTGTTTCTATCTTCTAAAACATGGCAATTAGAATTACATGGTCTTAAGTCAATCAACACTTTCTTATATTGATTGGCCCAAATTATTAAGTGAAAAATTCTCATTAGCTGATACTTTAGTAACAGATTAATGAGAATCAAAAACAACCAATAATAATATAATTCCCAATATATAATCTGTAACAATATTATACTTAGTAATATGAGAGTACCACTCGAGTATTATAATTTAACCACATTGAAGGTCATTCTATACGATATTTATTGGAGGAAATACGACAACGGCAATGGAAAGGGGGAGTATTTATATCTTTTCAGATAACATGGGTCTGCATTTAAGAATGACTTGGCTTACTTAATTAGTCTTAGTGTTGCTTTCAGCTTACGTGGCCAAAACCCATGCGTCATGATTACTAATTGCTTGGCGTCGGAGATAATTGTGTCGTATTTGGGTATGATTTATTTGAGAATAAACAAATAAATCGAAAAAATAATAAAAACATGAAATAAAAACCTCCTTTAATGTTGAGTAACAGCATACACCCGTATACTGCTACACAACGACTCCTACTATGAGTACATATTTCTATATAAAAAGATTGCATGATTGGCTTAAAATCGATATACGAATGACGGTTGGATATAGAATTCTATACCACTGAGGAGGGTGGGGAAAAATGTTGTAAAAAAAATGTTGTAATTTCGCGGGATTTAGTTCAACCGAAATTTATAGGAAAAACGGTCACTCAGGCATGTACCTCACCGGTGCATGAATTTAATGCAAAGTGAATTTGTCTAAATGTTTATTAAATATAATATATATTTTAAAAGAAAAGAAAGAAAGAAAGAAAGAAAATGTCTATAAGGTTTTTTTTTGGAGCATGCATAAACTGTTCGACGGCATCTTTTAATGATTTGCCGTGTGGAAAAACGTTTTGTTTGACACGGAAAAATAAAAGATAAAAAAACAGGAAGAATAAGATTAATATTGCTTGTAGGCTTTTTTGTTCTTATTAAAAGTGAATCCCCCTTTCATCTCTGAAAGAAAGGGGGGTATTTATAGTTATTTAAAGCGTGGGTAAAATCATGGGCTCGTTTGTGTTCACTTGGTATTATTGGCTGTATTTACTAATGACTGATGAGCCTTATCAGTGTAGCCAATCTATTATTCGAAATGGGATCTTCTATTGGAATATCTAGTAACCCTGAGTTGTAAATGTATAACTCAGGATATTTTTTATGCTATTATTTTTTATGAGTGTTATGATATTATGTACCTGTCGATCAAGGATCGATGGAATGATTTTATATGCGATTTTATATGTTAAATAGTGTGATTTTAGTACATGCCGGGCTTTGTTCATGTCTGATGTTATGATTTTGATTTCTTTATCGAGATTGTCAATGCGAACGAGAAAATTAATACCATCGATAATTTTGTAACAGACTGTAAAGAAATGCTCACCTGTTGAAGAGGTAGAGTAAACTCTTCCGTGTAATTGGTATTGAGAGTTTTGAGTTAATGATATATTTTCTGGAAAATATATGTTGGCGTTTTCGCTGTTGCTTGAAAATGATTCATGGCGTCTCACAAAATTGGTGGGGTCGGTGATGAAAAGAAAGGGAAATGTGTGAGAGTCAATTATCTCGTTTGTTGCGGTTACTATTCCTTTACAATCAGTTTCGTATGTGCAGGGGAATTTCTTCTCTCTGACAACTAAATGATGTAAAAGAACGGAACAAAATTCTTTTTCTTGCTCCTCCTCCGAGCTACACTCTTGCGTCTCTAATAAAAAGTCTCGCATCAAGTCATCAATGTCCAGAAGATCTACAAAACGTGTATCACTGATGTAATTATGTTTGTGAGTTTCAGAGCAATGATTAATGCGGCTCACGTTGTCTTTAAACCATCTAATTTGTGCTTTAAACACAACAGACATGGTGTTGAAAATTAACATTAACAGCTCTATAGCACAAGCAGGTTCACCGTCTGTGAATTGGGGTGGGCTGTTATCATCATCGATGGAACTGGGTATTCCCCAAACAAACCCCCTTGTGATAATTGAGAATAAAAAGGGAAATGTAGATTGGAAAATAAAGCAAATAAAGAAATGAGACTCTATAATCCTCTATTATAAGTTGGAGAGTTTGTCATGATAAAAATAGAGGTCCTTTTTATATTCAATTATTACTTCAAGATTTTTCCTGCACAGATCGAATTGAGTATTTACCCGCAAACTGGGAAATGGTAGAATTAGATTTAGAAATCAGTTACATATGAAACATAGCTTATTGTTATATACAAGGAGCTAGTTGACCCATATCCGGCACTTCTAGAGCATTATAGTTTATCCATTCAATGACAGGGTCCTTGATTGGATTACTAAAATACGTTTATGAGAAACTAGAAGATTCGGCAGTTACTCGACCAATCCAGGAACGATTATGAAATCTGATCTCAGTTTGACATATGAGGGAGTTGCTACTGTGTCGTACCAATAGGAATGTATTCGCAATATGGTACTTATAACACATAGGTTATATGTATTATAATTGAGTGACAAGATAAGAGTAATTTTATTCGTGGAATTAGGCGTCAAATACGACACCCCTGATCATTGCTGATGCTTCCCTGACAACAAGCTTTTTTTGATCCATGGTTTCAACAGTGGAAGTATACTTTTTGTACGAATCTATTAAAATTGAATTGTACCTGTTGTATTTCAAACCTTCCAAGGAGACAAAAGGCAGGACAGCATTCCACAACAGCTCGAAAGTCGCATCAATGAAGCAAGAGTTTTTTCTATTTGCTGCGATCGCAGACAAAAAACCCTTCTTCACCACCAAACCATCATTGACCTGCTTGGAAGCTAAGTTAAACGATTTTGCATTCTGTTTGTATTGAGATACAGTGACAGTTTTTTTTTGGCATATATAATTTCTCTTCCTGACACAGTAGTCTTTCTTCTTCATCGAATTCACGTAAAATGGCTTCAGTATCAAAATCGAAATCGCTTTCTACCTTTGAAGTCGTTTGTAGAGCTTTTTTGGTTTCGCCCATCTCAAGACTACTGATACCGGTACCGAACATTTCAGTTACAGGATCATCGACAATACCTGGGCAATGAAGTGTTAATTATAGTTTTTGGTTCAATATTTAATATTACATTATTATTTACCTCCCAATGCTTTAAGCATAAGATCATCGTGCTGCTCAAAAACTACTAAATACTCTTCAATATTGAGGTCAATGGACACCTCTGTATCAGATGCTTGATCTATCTGATCAAAATACAAACCGAAATCGTCTTCGGAATCAGTAACTGCATCCTTAGTACTCTTGATAGGATTAACAATCTCATTGCACTGGCTATCTACGTGTATCCAACGACTCTAGTTTTCTTTTCTTCTGAGAACTTTAAATTGCCTTATTACAATCTGGGGCTCTACCATCATTGGCTACCGGCTTGTTGCAATTCTTTCTCTTACTGCTAGTCTTTGTGTAAAAAGGGGCCAGGCCAAACTTGTAGTGATTTTTGATTAAACGCCCATCCCTTCTACATACTTGAAGAATCAATCTTAAGCTAACATTTAATGCTTTTCTTGTAGGTATCAAACGATACAAGGCACTATGGTATGACTCGATCGCATTAGATGTGCGTGAAGGATGCTTGCGAAGAGCATCACTCAAAACAGTCCGACAGTTAAAAATCATACTGGAAATGGTGGGCTGTAACCACCATTGAAGCCAGCGACGCACATTAGGGAACTCCCTGATAATCGACTGCGCAGTCTCAACGAATACTTCTTCAACAATTTGTAAGTCAACGAGACAAACTGGTTTGACTTCTCGGCAGGAACAAGTGAGTGGTTGGAGACAACCCGTTGAACACATTGCTTCCAATGCATATACAGTAGCAGCCCTTCAACAAGAGTGTAGGCAAAATACCTGAGTACGGGAAAGAAGAGTTAAAGGCCTGATAGAATCCTTCGCGCTGTGCCTGGGAAAAGTCTATAATCATTCCCAAAACATTATCAGCTTTAATTGCGAACTTCTCAAACGAAGCTCTGAAATAAACAGCAAATTGTTGGGCATCAAGCTTCTTGATGATAGCCTGGAAGATGACTACGTGTTTTTTCATCTCAGGCACAAATATTACTGTCGAGCAAAGATAGAAACCGTTGGGAACGGCATTAAAAGTTACGTCCGTAATCATGGGATAATTCTCAAATGGCAATTTAGCCATTACCATTTCAGGGCAAGAGAAAATTATACAGAACTTGGAGGCTACCAATTACGCTGAGAGGATGTATCCAGGGTACTCATCTTCAATCTTGAAAAATTCCTCGAACAAATCTGTTCTTTGACGAGAGCCAAGCCATTTCTAATTTTGGATGCTCTGAGTTCGTGCTTTGTTCTCTCTCTGTTGAGGAGAACAGGATTGATATCTTCGACATCTTCTGAAATCTCATCAGATCTCATACTGATTCCAGCAATAACGCCGCCTGGTGTAGCAGCTGGTGTTGTGTTTAGAGGTAAGTAAAAATTATAAGGCAGTTTATGAATAATTTGAGACTGTTTATAAGATTGTCTTTATTATGAAATAAAATGAACAAGTATTTATATAAAAAAGACTATCTGCTGTACCACTATCTTTAGTGTATCTTTGAAGTTGTTATCATTTTCCCAGTGTGTATCCTGTTACCTTTAACTGCTTATTTTGTAAATATGTTACACTTGGAATTACTATCATCTTAGACACATTGTACTTCCATATCTTTAGTAAGCCTTTGTCACTGTGTTCTTGTAACCTTGTGATATGATAGTACTAACTATCTATATTGGGTAATTGATTCCTTAATCATTCTTAATGTATTGATGTCATAGATATGGATTTATTTAATGTAGCAACAATATAGCAGATGACCACATTA